TGTATATGGAATTCACATAAACCAATTGACACATCACCCCCCACTCTATAAAAAATATGGGTGGAGCTTGCAGGAATCTTTGTTTGTGTTATCCACATTAACCAATGGACATACAACCCCCTTCCTCTCATATGGGTGGGACTTAAAGGGAGTCTTATATGTTTGATCCACATTAACCAATTGACATACTGTACCATCCTCTTCCCCTCTAACACCTACATGGGTGTGGTTTACAGGAATCTCTGTACAGTACTGTATATGGAATTCACATAAACCAAGTGACATATCACCCCCCACTCTATAACAAACATGGGTGGAGCTTGCAGGAATCCTTGTATGTGTGATCCACATTAACCAATGGACATACAACCCCCTCCCCTTCATATGGGTGGGGCTTAAAGGGAGCTTTAAACATGTTTGATCCAAATTGACAAACTGTACCATTCTCTCCCCCTCCAACACATACAAGGATGGGGTTTACAGGAATCTCTGTACAATACAGTATATGGAATTCACAAAAACCAATTGACATATCACCCCCTCACTCTATAAGAAATATGGGAGGAGCTTGCAGGAATTCTTGTATGTGTGATCCACATTAACCAATTGACATACAACCCCCTCCCCCTCATATGGGTTGGGCTTAAAGGGAGCTTTATACATGTTTGATCCAAATTGACAAACTGCACCATTCTCTCCCCCTCTAACACATACATGGGTGTGGTTTACAGGAATCTCTGTACAGTATATGGAATTCACGCAAACCAATTGACATATCACCCCCTCACTCTATAACAAATATGGGTGGAGCTTGCAGGAATTCTTGTATGTGTGATCCACATTGAACAATTGACATACCATCCAACACCACCCCCCCCCCCAAAAGCCACCTCCCCTGAGGCAAACCGTTGGAACACCAGTGAATTCAGTATAGCTCCCCATCCATAACAGCTTTTTAAAAATCACAGCACGCCTGAATAAACCCTGCATTTTACATGGGGTTCACAAAAAAAATGAAATGAATAAAGGGGGATTCGGTTAGGAAAGATGGTCAATACTTCCCTCAGCAGGTGCTTTTCACATCCCCTCCCTTTTATTTATTTTTTTATTTTTTGCCCGGAATTGGATCAGCCGTGAAAATCGTTGCCCGCGATTATCGCAAACGGAATGCGCACAGCTTCCTGCGCCATTCACATTCGCACAACACACAGGTGGTTTCATTCTAATTTACAAATGGGTGGGGGGGGGGGGGGGAAGGAAGGGAGGAAGTGGAAACACCCGCTGCGGGTAAAGTTCCCTCCGCGATTTGTGCTGCCACCCGAAACGGGGTACGGCACCTTTTTGGACGTGCGAAGGAAATATGCGAAAAATGTCAAAGGTGATTCCCATGAAAGGAGGCTTCTTTTTTCTTTTTCCCTCTGCCCTTATGAGAAGAAGAAGAAGAAGAAGATGGAGAAGAAGGTTTTCTGCAGGGGGAAAGGACGTGATGAATGGGAGATATTCGGGACGAAGGAGGGAGAAAAAGTTTCAAGGGGGGAGTAGATGTTGTATGTTTATAAAAAAGGGCCACTAAAAAGTTTTGCATTTCACCCACACACATATTGCATCCATCAGAGTAGGTCTCTGTCCAAGGGTTGGCAATCAAATGCAATGTAAGGTACTTTAAAAAGTGGTTCAGTCACCCAAAAAAAGCATGATTTAGCGACTATCCTTGCATCAAGTTTCAGATAAAGCATTTCTTAATTTGAATACGTTTTTGACATTTTCAAAAGCTGCATCAGTTCCCTGTAAATTGTCTTCACCAAAGGGGCTACATTCTCATGATTTATGAGAATTACAGCTGGATGTTTTTAGATTAGTAAATGTTTATTTATGAAAGATGTATTTTTGATTCAGGAGCAAAAGGGGCTTTGTAAAAGTTGTAACCATTTTCTGAAAATAATTGTTCAAAGTGGCTGCTTGAAATTTGGCAATTGCGCCAACAAAGTGTAATTGTGGGAAACTGGGAACTGAACACCAATTTTCCAAAATAAAAACAAAATTCATGATGTATGGGGAGTTTTTGGTGCATGTATACAAGTGGCTTTTTTGAAAGTTTATACAATCTTCTGAATATTATGTGCACAAACAGGACACTTCCTGAAAATTTGTTGCAACAGTAACCCACAAAATATAATGATAGAAAGGGGAAGCTATCATTATATTCCATCTTTGGACAGTTAATATGAAATACTGTACCTTACATGGTTCATATATACTTGGTATGCAGAGGAGGGGTTTCCTCAAAAGTTTCAGTGTTTTCACTATGATCTTGAACAAAAATCGCAAATCCTTTTTTACTGGGAAAACGGTGTTGCTTTTGGCTGGAAACTTTTAAAAATGTTTTTGCAAAGAACATTGTTCAAATTTGCATTTCAAGTTTTTGATATGGTAAGAAGAGAAACGTCTCCAACTTCGGAAAATTTCAAATCCTTCAGAGTAAAGTTTGCTACAGCGACTTTTTCAACATAATGAATTTATCTGTACCTGTATGTGAACAAAACTTTTGAAGAATCCCTCGTATGCGTGTACTGTATGTGTGTGCGTGCGTGCGTGCGTGGCTCATATATTTTTTGTTTCTGAGAGAGGGCACGGAGAAGCTGTTGCGACGGGCTGGTGTATGCGTGAAACTTTTGTATGCGTGATAAGACGCATGAGACGCGAGGGACGGATTGCGTGCCGCACGCAGGGAGGGAGTTGCCCTCGAGGGGTGGACTTCGGCTTCGCGGTGAACCATCTGAGCGACGCGCACAAGTACATAACGTTGGCTGTACGGCAAGTGACGCGGTGCACCTGTGCCTGTACCTTCGCACGCAGGGAGGGAGTTGCCCTCGAGGGGTGGACTTCGGCTTCGCGGTGAACCATCTGAGCGACGCGCACAAGTACATAACGTTGGCTGTACGGCAAGTGACGCGGTGCACCTGTGCCTGTACCTTCTGATCCTCCAATAAGCCATTCACTTCTTTTTTGAAGCTCATGCTTCGATTTAGACTTTCCGAAGCGTTTTCTCGTATGTGTAGAATATGGACTGCGTTGTCAATTTGAAGTCAGTGACAGCAGTGTTTGAAACACACTGTCCATAGTGTGCCAGGCTGGTAAAATGTTTGATGAGCTTTGATCAGGTTAGTTTTGCTGGATTGAGCTGAATTTTTGCATATTGATGCTCAATTTTTTCAACCAATTGCGTTATACATTCGCGCATAAATTTTTAAAGAGTAACTGGGGTAATGCTTATTGCTTGATACACAGCAATATTTTAGTACACTGTAATATAATACAGTACTTCAACGCAGTAAATGCGAAATTAAGCATGTAAACTTGCATTCATGGCTTTGACTACAGCAAAAGTAGCATGATCTAGGTTAGAAATATTTTTACATTTACCTAGATATTGATTTTCATAATCTCCGAAGCCATTCATGCCGTTGGTAATCTTTTTGTCAAGTTGACAACTTTTCACGCGTTTTTTTTTTATTCATGATAAAGCTCCATGGTTTATTTATGAAGTAAGTATAAAGTTAACCTGGAATGTTTCTTTTTTTAAACTGTTACCAATGCAGCTGGTTTCAAGTTTAGCTGTGGAAAGTCTGCGTTCAAAAGCAGACAAAAACAGTTCATGTACAGTATTTGCCGCGTATCACCCAGTCTATACCAGTGGGTTGAGCGCCCTGTTGCACAGTAGAATGATGCTCCACGGTTTGGACACGTACGACGGTTGTAGAGTATGTGGGCCGCGCAGGCGAGCGACAATGGGACCCTCAGCCCCAGTGCACCGCTGTGACTTGACGCGAAATCTCTGGTTGGAGACTAAGCATCCACGAGAAGTGGTTGAGTGCGATTTGAACAATGCTACACAGATTTCGACAGGTTGGGTTTATTTCTATTCGAGAGTCGTAACTGTACGTACGTGCGGTGTCAGTGCTATGGAGCGGGCAACTCTCATGGTTCTGTCGATTCCGAAGCTGTCTGGAGTTTCTCTGTGCGGAGCCGGAGCGTAAAAAGGAATACCGTTACGGAATGTTGGTGATCTGTGATGTGGCTTCGCTTGGAATTCGGTTAATGACCGCTATTCGTTTATGTGTGCCGTTCGTATTTTCTGCGTGAGTAAGCATCTTCTTTTGGACGCGTTCATTTTTGAACGTTATTCCACGGGCCGAGTCCGTCTGGGATACTGTGCCGAGATTACTCCCGAGAGAGACACGACTGGCTCCGTTATCGTGATCTGGCGTCATCACCCGAAGTATCTGGTATTAGTGAAGGTGCGAGTGTTGCGCATCTTGGAAGATTGCAATTCCGTTTCCTTGAACAGGTGTCGTGTATCCTTACCGTAAGAAAACTGCAGCAAATGCAAGGAGCTCTCGGGGAAATTCATCCCGAACAAGCCGATGTCTCATGGGTTCGCATTTATTTGTCTTTTTCGGAACTTCTCCGTTGTTTTCTTGAGTAAAGCGGTAGTTTGGAACTTCGATTAGAAAAGCGTTCTCTAAATCAGTGATGCTAACGAATAATGATCACGTTTTTGGCTGCGTGCTTTCCGTGGTGTTCCTCATTTTTTCATTGTGAGCGGTAGTGGATACTTGCGTAACTTTTGATGGACTGCTTATACGGTACTGTTCATTGACGCAGGGATTCTGTTTGAACGAACTTCTGGAGATTTGCGGAAAATATTCATGTTGGGTTTTAAAAAAAAATCCCGTCACCGTATTCAGCTCGTTTGTTCGAGGTTCTTCACTGTTCAGTTTCGAATTGTGCACGAGGGTCGAAGTTGATGAACTTTCGATCGTGTGAAACAGTTGTTTGGGATTCATTCTCCTGGGAGCTCCTTCGCCGTGCGTTCACCTGACATGACGTTGGGGTTGAAGTTTGGTTTTTCCGGAATTTACAGTGTGTGAAAGGAAGTATTCATTGGTTTAAACTGTAAATTAAGTAACATCAAAAGCCGTTGCTAATGGAACGCCGGATTGTACCGCATTCGCAGATCAAATCCCGTGTTCGTTTGTGCAGACGATTGTGAATCTATGTCGTAAAGTTACCGAAAATTTTGACGTGTGTGATCCGGAGTCGTGGAGAATTCTTCTCACTCATGTTACCTCTTGTACGCGATGAACTCCGTGCTCATTCTGGTCGCCTTAGCGTTCCGTTATCGTGATCTGGCGTCATCACCCGAAGTATCTGGTATTAGTGAAGGTGCGAGTGTTGCGCATCTTGGAAGATTGCAATTCCGTTTCCTTGAACAGGTGTCGTGTATCCTTACCGTAAGAAAATTGCAGCAAATGCAAGGAGCTCTCGGGGAAAATTCATCCCGAACAAGCCGATGTCTCATGGGTTCGCATTCATTTGTCTTTTTCGGAACTTCTCCGTTGTGTTCTTGAGTAAAGCGGTAGTTTGGAACTTCGATTAGAAAAGCGTTATCTAAATCAGTGATGCTAACGAATAATGATCACGTTTTTGGCTGCGTGCTTTCCGTGGTGTTCCTCATTTTTTCATTGTGAGCGGTAGTGGATACTTGCGTAACTTTTGATGGACTGCTTGTACGGTACTGTTCATTGACGCAGGGATTCTGTTTGAACGAACTTCTGGAGATTTGCGGAAAATATTCATGTTGGGTTTAAAAAAAAAAATCCCTTCATCGTTTTCAGCTCGTTTGTTCGAGGTTCTTCACTGTTCAGTTTCGAATTGTGCACGAGGGTCGAAGTTGATGAACTTTCGATCTTGTGAAACAGTTGGCTGTGGGATTCATTCTCGTGGGAGCTCCTTCGCCATGCGTTCACCTGACATGACGTTGGGGTTGAAGTTTGGTTTTTCCGGAATTTACAGTGTGTGAAAGGAAGTATTCATTGGTTTAAACTGTAAATTACGTAACATCAAAAGCCGTTGCTAATGGAACGCCGGATTGTACCGTATTCGCAGATCAAATCCCGTGTTCGTTTGTGCAGACGACACACTTAGATACAGCATTTCAATGGCTTTTAAAACTGCACACACTAGGCCTCAGCACCTCTTAAGAAGAGTGAGTACAATGGAGAACATGCGCTACTTGAGGCACGAGTAAGACCAGCGGAATCGCATCGTAGCAGTCGTGTGCATCAACTGGACGCTGATGAGCCAAAGCACCGACAGTGTCGCGTTTTGTCCAGCTACTGGTCAATGCAACTGCGACGGGGCAGATTACATGTCCCCGAATCACCCATGGAAACGCGACAGGAGCCTTCAGCTGAAGGACTCTCCAAAGAAGCTTTTGTGGTTTGTTCAGGTAAGCGTTTGAATTTGCGGAAGTTCTCTTCCTGTCGACGTCTCAGCTGATATGCGTTGCTTTTGGGGAAGATCAGTGACATACATATCAGCGAGTACTATGACGAGAACCGGATCCGGAATTTCGAGTCGTTTTGCGCGGAAACGATTCCGGCAATCAAACCATCCGTCGTGATTGCTTCCGGAGACTTGACTGACGCTAAGACGAAAGATTACATCGGTTCGCGACAATCATTGAAAGAATGGGAAGCTTATCAAGCCGCTGTAAAAGATTCCGGAGTGTTATCTCACACGGCTTGGTTGGATCTCAGAGGAAATCACGGTGAGAGTTCGCGTCTATTTTCTCTTGCGATCTTCGGGTGCCGTTACTGTTCGTGACCAACTTGTAGTTTTATGAAATGATGACGGGAATGAATGACTAGGTTATTCATACGAAGACACAAATACACCTTCGACGAAGTAAAGCATCTGGTTCCTTTCGGAGGCTGCTTTAAGATCTGGAGATGCTCCGTGTATTAAATTACCTTCACTTTGGCGTCACCAATCATGTTTTTACAGTGCTAAATTTTATTGAAATTGATAATTGAGTAAATTATACGAGTTGGGGTTGAGATTAGGTTTAGTTCCGTATCGCGGAGTTTTTCTACTTCATTGTGGTTAGCTGAAACATTTCGAGAAGGGCACGACGAGTCTTCAACAGTGTACTTCCTTCTCGTGCCAATCTTTCATTTTTCGTTATTTTCACGCATTTTCTTTTACAGATAACTTCAACGTCTTTGATGTGCACAGTCCGGAAAATCACTACCGAACGCATTCGGTTCAAGGAGGAACGCATTTGAGAAGTTATAAACATACAGTGATGAAAGATGGGGACAACTACACGTTCGTCGCTCTGGATGCGTCTCCGTCGCCCGGCATGAAAAAGCCATTCAATTTCATCGGAATGGTGTTGGAAAAAGAATGGGATGTTGCCAGGAAGTTGGAAGAAGAGGCTCGTTGCAGTAGCTTTTCTGTGTGGTTTGCCCATTATCCTACGTCGTCCATTCTGGCGCCAAGTCCAGGTTTGTGTTTTTTATCCCCGAGTGTCATTTTCAAGGTGGTATTCTTTCCGTGGGTGACAGTCAAACGACCGAGTGTATTTATTTTACTTGTTGCGGGACGAATGGTGCAAAATTCTCGGAAAATTGCAAGAAAGAATAACAGAGATGTTCAAGTAAAGTTTCATAACTGATGTGTACATTACTGTATTTCATTGTGGAATCAACTGCAGATTAAACGGCAGATGTGGGTTTTATTTTTGCTCTTCGCGATTCATCCCAATGTCATTCATTTTTTCCGTCTTCTTCAACGTGTGGGCACGAAAATTTGAGCTCTGTGCGATGATTATCTGTTCAAAAAATTCGATCCCATCTAACTCCTGTAACAAGATCCATGAACTAATTTCCTCGTTGAGAAATGAACTTGCTAACGTAATCTAAATTTTTGAATTCCGTTCGAGAAGATTTATGTCAATTATTTTTTCTTCTTCTTTCAGGGCTACGGTGGTTGATACGAAGATCGCTGGTGTTCCTTGCTGGTCATTTCCACACGTTTGGAGGGATGGTGCCCGTGATGCACGCGATTCACAGACCCCATGGAAACCTGGAATTGGAGTTGGGCGACTGGAAAGAAGGACGACGGTTTCGATTGGCCGCCATCGACAACGGTTTACTGTCACACGCGACGGTGCATTTCGGGCAATGGCCCATCGTGTTGGTGACGAATCCCAAAGACGCGAGATACTTGCTGCCCTTGCACGAGCCCCTGGATCTCATGCGAACCTCGACTCACATCAGGTGAGTTGGAGCTGTGTTTGATAATTTCATGAGAAAGTGCATCTGTTGATGGTTCAAAATTATGCTTCATGTTTTTTTCATGAAGCGGGTGAGATTTAAGATAACGCGTTGTAAAGACTCAAATTATGCTCAGACTTGTAGTGACATCAACCATAAAAGAAAATAAATTTGATACTGTGATGGACATCACATGAATTTCCAGAAAGTTTGTTTTCGAATTGTGAAGGAGTTTTGGTAGTAGCACATGGAATTGAATGGAATTTTGTAGGATTAAAAGTGAAACGCATTCCAAAGTCCATCTGTTTTTTAAATGCAATTTACTGTATTAAATACCACACACGCTTGAGTACGACACACACCTGAATTCTCCAGCCCAAAATTTTGATGGAAAAATATCGTGTTCATGAGCAACGTGAGGTAAAAATCTCTGACTTGAAACGTAATAAAAGTCTTACTTTATGCAGTCTTAAAGTTAAAACTAACTTAAATCGGTTTAACTTACAACTACAAGATAAATAATGTAAAATTTCCGTTGTTGGAATTTTCTGTTGAAGATAGTTTGAAATTTCCTCTTGAATCATGTATCATGTGCACCAAACATTTATAAAAATGTTATGTCTTCCTATGAGACGCTTCCTCTCGGTTCTCTTAATATTGAAGAAAAGGTACATGTGGTGCCAAAGTAGATACGGTAGAACTACTTCTCGTTGTAAATGGGGTACACTCCGCTGTTAATAAAAAGGGCATAGTCACTGTAGACGGTCGAGTTTTTGTTAAGCAGAAAACGATCCTTTCAAATAGAGCACCTAACGGTTAAAAAGCTGTCAGCTTGAAGGGGGAATGGTTTTATATTTTCGTCAAACTTTTATATATTTTTCTCTCTCTCTCTTTGTCTTACAAACACAGAGTCTTGGTGTTCTCACTCGGAGAAGTGACAGAAGTTCGGTGCCGGATTGACGGAGGCGCCTGGGAAAGGATGAGCGCAAATAGGAATGAGCCGAATCTCAAATGGGAGCGGACCGTAGGCCCCTTTATACGGGCTCCCAACGTGCTTTAAGTACAGGTCCGACTTCTGCTAGCGCCTCCCTTTTGGCAGCACCTTATAGGGAAGAGAAACCTAGATTGGCAGCGCACTTTGAATACCATGGGGAGGATCGTGTTGACAGCGAATTTGACTTCTTTTGTGAGTCCGTATTTTTTATTATTTTTTTTCCTCAGGTGATGATTTCGAGTTGAGAGTGACATTTTATTGCATTGACCGGGAATGTGATGGATTGGATTTTTTAAAATAATTTCTTACAACAAAAGTTGGGCGTAATTTCTTGGTTTTTTTTACGTTTACGTTTGTTTTTCATCGTGAAACTTACATGAACTAAATGCTCATCGTACTCTAAAATTAAGTCTACGTCTAGTCCCAGTAAACTTGAAACGGAATCTGGATCAAATGTATGTGAAATTTATCTGAAGTTAAAATGCAGCTTTACAACCTTGCAAATTTTTTTATGTAAATGAGGCTGTTTTCTACAAAATGAAGCTTTAGGTTGCTTTTCAGTTAAATTTTAATCAAGCCTTAGTTTT